AGGACCCTCTGGGCTGGTGCAACATGGTGTCGCACGGCGAAGCTGTCTGTGCTAAGGAAGACAAGACCCCATGGGGGTGGGCACAGAGCTGTTGTCTCAGAAAAGACCCCCAGGCCAGTCTGGTCCCTGTGGTGCCTCTGCTGCCTTCCATGGTATTAACCTGGGCAGAGCCTGATGCCAGCCTGGCCTAGGTCTGTGATGGCATCAGACCTCTCTGGAGTGCGGGGTGCAGAGCCAGGGGGCTCCCTGCTATAAGGGGGTGGGAGGGTGCTGTGTGTGTAGGAAGGAGTTGCTGTGGGGTGGGGAGTGGGCTCTGGGGGTGCATGCGTGTTGTATGGGGGGTGCTTTGGGGGGTGGCAGCCTGTCTGACTCTCGCTCCTGGCCCTGCAGAGGGAGATGTATGCGAAGGTCTTTGAGAAGGATGCTGACCGGCACAGTGACTGGCACGGGTCCTGATTGGCAACAGCATTGCCCTGGTGCTGGGAGGAGGAGGGGCCAGGTAGGGGCTCAGACAGGGCCTGGCTGGGGCACTGAATTCCCATGGCACTCCTTCGCACCCAGGCACAAACCAGCCCCAATGGGGGGCCATAGGCATCCACAACCCCAGCTTTACAGTGGGCAGGGGGGACAAACCCAGGGATAGAACCCAGGAGTCCTGGCTCCCAGCCCCATGTCCCTACTGGTACACGAACACTGCCTCCCAATAAGAGCCATGGGAGTGGGGCTGGGACAGTGACCCTGCCGCCCACCACCCTGCCGGAGCAGTGCATGCTGGGAGCACCATTGCAGACATCCTGGCTGCCTGCCCCGTTGGAGGCATGGCAGCTGCGTGGCAGGTTGCAGAGTTCGGGGCCATGTGATGGGTTAAGCGAGGTGTCTGGAGTGACTTCCGACAACCTGCTCACAGCAGGAGGGAGCCTTGTCTGTGCCAGCAGGGAAACTCTCCCCAGTGAGTGGCTGCTGGCACCACAAACCTCCTCTGCTCCAAGTCACAAAGTGAGAAATCACTGTAATATTTTAGGATTCCTATGCATGCCTCAGTTTCCCTCAGTACTTTGCATTGCTCCCCAGTGGATGCAGAAGAGTTAAATCTGCTTTTGGGGCTGAGCAGAAGCCATGGGGTGATGGGTCATGTAGCTGTCTGGGGGGAATGAACGCAGTGTTAAACGACTGGCTGAAACTGACCCGTATCAATGAAGGATTCAGAAAGACAGTGGGACCTCAATGGCCAAGACGGTTACACCCAGCAACCAAGAGAAAGGACCTTCCTCCCACCCTGCCACCTCTCCGCAGGAAGCCGAGCCCAGCCCAGCTCGAGGAGAGTGGCCTGAGAGGTGTCAGGGTACAGGACAGAGTTGGCTTTTGGAGGGACTCAGCACCTCTCAGCTGGGCCAGACAGAGACAGAGCTGGAGCCAGAAGGGGGTTCCAGGGCAGCTTGGCTGGGTGGTACGCTGGATGGACGGTGTCTTAGCCTTTGCTTCTCTGGGCTAACCTGGGGACTTCCCGGGCTGGGATGCAGATGACTAATAAACCCGACTCCGTGTGAAAACATGGCCTGGTGTCACTGCACGTCCTTGCCAGGGTGCACTGGGCCCTGAGGAGTGGGCAAGTCTCTGGCCAGGCGTCTGTCTCAGCTGAACGCGCCGGGTGGAGCTCCCAGGGTGAAGCAGGAGGGCTGGAGCCCAGGGGCTCAGTCTTGGAGGAGTTGAGGCAGTGTGGTGTGCCCTTAAGGAAGAGCGGGACCCCTCGGGGGTCTGGCTCCCTGAAGGGCTCCTCCCAGGGACGGTTTAAAAGCTGGGACGTAGCAGCCATGACACTCCACGAGCCCTGCTCTTTCCCAGGACAGGCGAGCAATTTACACCCCCACTTTGTTGCACTCATGTGCCCAGTCCCTTGTCTTCTGGACACCCGCTATGCACCGCAATCCGCTGCCGGCAGGGAAGCGGGGCGCTCCAGTTCACTGGTTCCACCTCAGTGCACCACTCCTTAGCACAGGGGGCTTAGAGGTGGCCAAAGGAAAATCTAACACATTAATTTACCAGAACTCGTGTTATAATTCAAATAAAAGCCCGGGCCAGGTCAAAAGTTACAGGTCAAATAACCCGGGGTGGGCAAACTATGGCCCGCGGGCCAGATCTGGCCCACCAGGTCGGGGGCTGCTCCATGCGGCTCCCGAAAGCAGCAGCTCCAGCTGGGGAGCAGGGTTGGGTGCCGCTCCATGCAGCTCCCAGAAGCAGCGGCATGGCCCCTCTCCAGCTCCTACGCATAGGGACAGCCAGGGAGCTCCGCTCTGCATGCTGCCCCACCCCAAGCTCCGCCCCCGCAGCTCCCATTGGCCAGGATCTGCAGCAGGATCTGTAGGTGATGCCTGCAGACAGGGCAGTGTGCTCCGTGTAGGAGCCAGAGAAGGGACATGTAGCTGCTTTCGGGAGTCGCTTCAGGTAAACGCTGTCCGGAGCCTGCACCCTTGAGCCTCCCCCCATGCCCCTATCCAGAGCCCCCTCCTGCACCCTGAACTCCTCATGTCTAGCCCCACCCCGAAGCCCGCACCCCCTCCCACACTCCAACCCCAATTTTGTGAGCATTCATGGTCCACCATACAATTTCTATTCCCAGATGTGGCCCTCAGGCCAAAAAGGATGCCCACCCCTGAAATAACCCCATCAAACGCGGTCTAGAGCCTGGCTTATTAACCAGTTCCTTTCTGGTGTGATAAGGTATCTCTCTCCCAGTGGTCAGTCTGTCCAGCGCTTGTCCAGGCCAGGGAGCTGGGCTCCACATTTCCTGGGAGGCTCCTGCTGGCAGAGCGTTGCCTCCCTGATGGATAGCACTTGTGCCCTCTTTCCTTCTCTTACAGTCTCAGACCCTTTTCCTGTGTCAATGCTCACCTCTGGGTCGTCCCTGGACTGTAAACTCTGGGCTGGGCTGGGTCCTAGATGCCAATGGTTCTCGGTGTTGATGGAGGCAGCTGGGTGACCCACGGTTCACCTCTCACGGGTTTGGAACCCAATATCCTCCACGTTCCAGAACTCTACCAGCAATTCCTGTGCCAGGCCCCTCCAATAACCACGACAACCAGCGAGATTTGAGCTGTTGGTTCAGACCACACACCACCCCGTTGGTGAACTAGTGAGAAGATGGTTGGACGCAGATGGCATGTCTGTGACACAGGCTCCCAGAGTAGGAGCCAGACAGCGGGACTGGGTTGGGGGTGGACAGACATGAGGGAGGATGGGTGGACATGGACAGCAGAGTTGGAGCCCAGGCAGATTTCCCCAGGTCCTCTGGCTCAGTCACTGTCCTAGATTGAGCTGGTCGGGCTGATCCTGGCTAACCCAGGGCCTGTGCCGCTCCATGGTGAGGTCAGCCTGGCCTCCCAAGTGACATCCTTCTCCCCCCGGCACCGGCGTGAGCAGCAAGGGACAGCCTGCAGAGACAGATGTACAGACATGGCCCAGGGGGCACCCTGCACTCAGAGCCTGCTATGCGCTGCTCGTCTGGAGCCTGCTGCGTGCCACGGAGCCGGGAGCCTGGTCCTGTGCGGAGTCCCACACACCGGTTAGTGTCTCTGGAGCCCGATGCTCCTGTCTGGCCTGGTACTGCAGCTCCTAGAACTTCCTCTGGGGGGCAGCATCACCCCACACCAGCTGTGATAGTGGGCACAAGGGAATGGGAGCAGAGACAGCTCGGCATTGCTGTGCGGGGAAGGGAGTTTGATGAGTCCTGACAACTGCTGAAGTGGCAGGGGCATACACAGCCTGGTGGGAGGAGCTGCCCTGCTCCATTGCCCTTTCTCCCCAGCTCCCCAACCCCCATGTTACTCTGTCCCAGCAGGCCCTTTGGTTCCAGTCCCGTTGTGTAGGATAGAGTCCTGTGGTGGAGAGGTCACGTGGCCAGCTAGGGAACACTGGGGGAAGGAGGGGACAGCCACAGCCAGAGGGGCTGGAGTGCTGCCTGAGTGGGAGGTAAGGACGCTCCTCCAGAGGCCTCTGTGCCCATGGGAAGCCCGGCTCCTGCACAGTCTAGGCACTCCGGATGGCAGCGGCCTCTTGTGCACCTCCACGCTTCCCCAGTGCCATGACACGCAGCCATCACTGGGGGGGAGCCCGGCGCCTCTAACTAACTTGGAACCGCTGCCCAGCTAATCATGAGGTTTTAAATATGATCAGATTTGGGTCTGTTTATTGGCTGACTGCTCTTTGAGTCCTTAGGGGGCCACATTTGCCAGCTTTTCTCTGCAGCTGGCCAGGTAGGGCCCGAAACTCACTTTGTTTTTTCATTGGAAGCAGAATCACATGATGCCAGGAGCTGGGGATTTGAGAAATGTGAGTCATGATCAAGTTGTGCGGATTGGAAATACTGAGCCTAAGAGGCAGGATTGTGATGGGGGAGAGAAGCACCAGGGGAGAGTGCACCACGAGAACGTGTGTGTGCGCGTGCTTCTGACCAAAGATCTACTGAGCTGAAGGCAGTTTGGCATGGACCAGCGCCAAGTGATCCCTAGTTGGGGGAATAACCCAATGTCTCCATGCACCCGGCTGGGAGCAGCACAGACTCCCCTGGGAACAGCTCAATGAACCCCGCACCTTCACACAGCCAATACAGCGCTGGGCTGTGGGGGGCTGGGCTGGGGGCTGACGTGAAGTATGTGGCTGGTGTGCATCTCTACAACAGGGGGCACCTGTGCCTGGGCACCATGTGCTGGGCTGAGTGGCTGTCCCCAAGGGACTCAGCAGGGCACAACAGGCAGAGATGGCAGGGAGAAAGGATAGGGGCTTGGAGAAAATCCCCCGTAAAAAGAGATTAAAAAGGTTGGGACTGTGCAGAGAGGGGAAAAATGCCAGCCTAGGGAAAGAACTGGGTAAAGAACACAGACATAAGTGAAATGTTTTCAAGTCAGTAGGGCCTGAGGAGATCCACCCTAGGGGACTTACAGAAGTGGCTGGAGCAATCTTGGAATGGTTAGAGATTATCTTTGAGAACTCCTGGAGGATGAGTGGAGGTCCCAGAGGACTGCAGAAGGGCAAACAAAGCTCACATCTTTAAAAA